GGCATTTCAGACAAAGGAGGAACTGGATTACATTGGTATATAAATGGGAAGATATATATATAGAGAGAGAGAGATACCAGGAAAGAGAGAGAGAGAGAGAGAGAGAGGGGGCGAGAGAGAGAGAGGGGGCGAGAGAGAGAGGGGGGGCGAGAGAGAGAGAGAAGAGAGAAGGAGAGAGAGAGAGGGGGGGAGGGAGGGGGGGGAGAAAAAGAGTAAGAGAAAGAGAAAGAATCAGAAAGATAGAGAGAGAGAGGAAGGGAGAGAAAAAAGTAAAAAAAAAAAAAAGAGAAATAAATAGAGAGGAAGAGTGAGAGAGAGAGAGAGAGAGAGAGAGAGAGAGAGAGAGAGAGAGAGAGAGAGAGAGAGAGAGAGAGAGAGAGAGAGAGAGAGAAGTAGAAGGACCCCCAAAAAAACAAGAGAAACAAAAGAAAACAAGTAAGACCGAGAGAGAGCCTCAGAGATCGCAAAGTCGGGGCAGAAGGCTCTCGCAGCCACACACCACCACACGGGAGATATTGCTAGGGTATTAACCACACGACTCCCATAGGTGAAGGCAGGTGTAAAAGGGGGGGGGGGGTGGAGGGAATAAAGACTCCTAGAAAACCAGACATTGTGGAAAGCTGAAGGTATAATGAGACGGAGAAGAGGTAAAGGGAGAGGGGGGGGGGCGTTCATATGTAACGGGATTAACATCGTGAAGGGAAAAGGTGGTGTTTATAAGGAGAGTCAAGGTTCTCGAGTGTACTTTAGAAGGTCGTCTCTTCACTTTTCCTTCTTATATACAGGGATATCTTACATGCTTTAATAACTCTCTTCTCTCTCTTCTCTCTTTTCTCTTTTCTCTTTATACTTTTCTCTTTTCTCTTTTCTCTTTTCTCTTCTCTCTTCTCTCTTCTCTCTTCTCTCTCTCTCTTCTCTCTCTCTCTCTCTCTCTCTCTCTCTCTCTCTCTCTCTCTCTCTCTCTCTCTCTCTCTCTCTCTCTCTCTCTCTCTCTCTCTCTCTCTTTCTCGCTCTCTCGCTCCCAACCTTTCGCCCTTTCTCCCTCTCTTCCCCCCACCCTCTCTCCCTCCCTTCCTCCCTCCCTCCCTCCCTTCCTTCCTTCCTTCCTTCCTTCCTTCCTTTCTCCCTCCCTCTTTTTCTCGCTCCCTCTCGTTCTCCCTCCCTCTCGTTCTCCCTCCCTCTCCCCTCCCTACCCCCGTCCCCAGCCATCCATCTACATACAAATTCCGGATTTTCTCCACAACTTCCATCTCTCGCCACAGCGCCTTCACTCGGAGTTCCTTGACGTCGTACATCGTCTTGTCTGGCCTCTTGTGTCCTCCGCCTGCCTCTTTCCTGAAGGGGCTTGAGGTCATAGATATGTAAATCTCCTTGCTTTGACGTCACCGCAGAGCAACAACGTAGCATCTCGAAACTCTGAAGGGCTTGTCTAACTGGTCGTCACACCCTCCCCCCCCCATGTCCCCCCTTCCCCCCCTCGCTCTCTGGCATCCCTCCCCCCCCCCCACACACACACACGTCACCCCCTCCTCTTCCCCCTACGGTCGTCAGCTCTTTATACAATGCGGAACCGTGACTACTGGACTAGGGTGGGAGGAGGGAAAGAGAGAGAAAGGGAGAGGGAGAGAAGAAAGGAGGAAGGGAAAAAAAGGGAGAGAGAGAAGAAGGGAAGAAGGGAAAAAGAGAGGGAAAGAAAAGGGGAGGCAAAGTAAATGAGAAGGGGAGAGGGATAAAAAGGAGGGAGAAGGAGAGAAGAAGAATTCGCGAACAGGGAGAAAAGGGAGAGAGAGAGAGAGAGGGAGAGGGAAGAAGATGTTATAACAACTTTGGAGTCTTAGGGAAATGGTTTTCCAATGTCTCAAGAACGACCCTGCAGTTACATAGAGCTGCATCGATTATTGCTATCCACATCTGCTTTGCTTCCGTAAGATTAGACATTTCTGACGTAGAGTAAAATCCTACAAATGGACTGCTCTCTCCTCTCCACTCCCTCTCCCCTTCCCTTCTTCCCTATTTACTCTTCCCCTTTCAGTCTCTCATTACTCCTTTCCCTCCTTCCATAGTCCTCTCCTTCTCCCTCTCTCACCTCCCCCTCTCCCTTCACCCTTCCCCTCTCAACTCCCCCCTTCCATCCTATATCCCCCCTCCCTACCTCCCCGTTAACCCCCCCCCCCTTCTATTCTCTCCCTGTCTCCCCCACTCCACCCCCCTCCTCCTCCTCCCCCCCAAGAGTCCCGCTTGACCATAGTGAGGAAACCAGTTCTTGCGCCCTTTGATGCCGCGGTCCTTTTTGTGACGTCATTAGAACAGGCTAGAACTTTCTCGCTCCTGATTGGTCGAGAGGGATTGATGGTGGAGGAGGAGGAGGAGGAGGAGCAGGAGCAGGAGCAGGAGCAGGAGCAGGAAGAAGAAGAAGAAGAAGAGGAGGAGGAGGAGGAAGAGGAGGAGGAGGAGGAAGAGGAGGAGGAGGAGGAGGAGGAGGATAAAACCCGCTTTTAATTGGCAGAGGCCGTTGGTGACTGTTGTACCGCCTGATTGTCTTGTAGGAACGCGTTTGGTTTGGGCGATCAGTGGTTCACTTTCAGCAATGAAGGGTGATTAGCCTGAATTATTAGATTAATTGTTGTTTTTGTTTTTGGTTATCGTGTTTTTTTGTTGTTGTTTTTCTTCATAAGAAAGTTTTTTCCTCTTAACTTAAAGGACATACACGCGCGCAAATGCGCACACACACACAGACACACACACACACACACACACACACACACACACACACACACACACACACACACACACACACACACACACACACACACACACACACACACACACACACACACGTACAAATCACAAATATTCCTCCCAAACTACCACGAGTTCGTTACCAGCGCGAAGTCACTTAAGAAAGCGGCCGCTTATGTTTAAGGTGACTCAGGCTTTATCCTGTGACTGTTACTCACCCCTTTGGTCAGTGAGGAATGACGGAGTGGAAGGATTTACTCCGCTTATTTGACAGAAAATACGACTGTCGGGCTGTTTATAAGACTTTGGTAGAGTGACTCTTGGCGGGGACCTTTTTGCAATGACAGCCGGCTTGCTTGCTTGCTTTTACAGAGGGTACACACGTCCGTTTGGGATGTATTTTCTAACCGTTTCCGTGTGTTGCCTGTTTTGTGTCTAATTTGAATATCGATTTGAAGATTTTATTGTATAGGTATTGGTTTGGATACTGGATAGGTTGGTGTGTAGTCATTCGTCTGGTTGAGGATACATATGCGTTAATTTCCCCATGGGATGGTATGCTTTTGAAGGTTATTGAAATGTGGGTTTTATACGCGTAGAGTTTTGATTGCAGTTTGGTATTTTTGAAATTGTGTGTGTGTGTGGGTGGGTGGGTGGGAGAGTGAGTGAGTGAGTGAGTGAGTGAGTGAGTGAGTGAGTGAGTGAGTGAGTGAGTGAGTGAGTGAGTGAGTGAGTGAGTGAGTGAGAGAGAGAGAGAGAGAGAGAGAGAGAGAGAGAGAGAGAATGTAGTATGTGGAGACTCATACCCAGTTAACGCAAACATAAAACACACCGTTTCTTCAAACCTACGCCGATGAAAATAGATTCATTCATCTCTATGCGTAAATATTGACTCTTGCATTATTAATACCCAATGCTCCTCCGTTTTGCATTGGGATGTGATAGTCAGACAATCCTCTGTGAGTTTAGATAAATAAACTACTGAATTTAGGAAAGTGTACCATTGAGTTTAGAGAAATATATACGTGAGTTTAGAGCAATATACCAGAATTTAGTGGGCAACACATGTGAGCTTAGTGTGATGTACCGACCTCGCTTGTATGAATATTTAAAGCGCTGGTCTTGAATGCAACACATACTGGCTTTTTTTAAAATCTATTGAACGCAAGTGTCGCCGGGGAAAGCAGAGAGCTCAGGGCCAGGAGACACGTCGGGGAGCTGCGCCACTGCGGCGATCGCTCTCTCTCTCTCTCTCTCTCTCTCTCTCTCTCTCTCTCTCTCTCTCTCTCTCTCTCTCTCTCTCTCTCTCTCTCTCTCTCTCTCTCTCTTTCTCTTTCTCTCTCTCTCTCTCTCTTTCTCTATTTCTCTATTTCTCTCTTTCTTTCTTTCTCTTTCTCTCTCTTTCCCTCCCTCCCTCTTGATTCTCTTCCTTTTCTTCATTTTCCCATTCTTCTCTGTCCTTCGTCTTCCTTTCCTTCCTCTCTCTTCTCCTCCTCTTCCAACTCTCTTTATCACATCTCTCTCTAATCTCCTTACTTCTATCTTTCTGCATCGGGAATTCGAGGTCGACTGGATTTCTTGACACTAAAAAAAAAAATGAATAAAAATAAAATTAGATAAAGAAATGAATGAATAAATAAATAGATAAAGAAAGAAAGAAAGGGGCATGAGATCAATAGATTTAAAATGAGAGAGAAAATGAAAATGAAAAAAATAACGGACGATGATTTGGTGACAGGGAAAAGACAATGACGTAGACTGAATAAGGAATTTCTTGATAAAAGGAGGGAAAAGGGGAAGGGAGGAATGGGTAAGAGAAAAGAGGAAGGGAAGAAATGAGGAAGTAATGGGTGTTACGTCACAGGGGAAGAAAAAGGAAGAAGGGGGGAGGGGAGAGAGATCAATCTGAAATTGGGGGGAGGTGGGAGGGGGGAAGGGAGGGGGGGAGGGGGTGTTAAGTTCTCGTGACATGCAACCTTGGAAATCACATGAGAAACGGGTAGTCTTTTTTATTCCTATTGTATATTATGTTGTATTTTTTTGTCTCTCTTTTTTTTTTTTAACGATGAATGTGTAAATGGGTATTAGGGTATTTAAATGAACATTGTGACATGCTCCACTTTTGCGTTAGTTGTTGACGTAAAATTGCACTTTGAATACTGAATGTGAATTAGTCGATGCTGTAACTTTCAACAAAAGAAGCTTGAACTTCCTTTGTGTAGCGATGCTCTGAGTAACATGTCCTGTTTCTTGTATTCCAGGGTATTGTGGAGAGAGCACGCCCTGCGGTGTGCCGCGCCGCCCTGTCATCATGAGCGCTGTGCCCCTTCTGCTGCAGTGCCCTCAGACCCCCTCGTCTCCGTCGCCCCTGCACCGGCCGGCGCCGCGCACGCCCAACTCCCTGCGCCATTCCCGCACCCTCAGGCTCAACAACCGCAACTCCTTCCCGCCCGACCAGAACCAGGAGTCCCGCTGGGTGTCGCTGCTGGCCCGGGCCGCGCCCACGAAGCCCTACGGCACATGTAGCCCCGCGCCCCTGCACGCCCACATCTCCCACACCCGCCAGGTGTCCCCCGTCACCCCGCCCACCATCACGCCGCCCGCGCTCACCCCGACGACCATCGCCCCGGCTGCCGTGATCATCCCCTCGCCCGTGAGCGCGCGCCCGCCGCCCGCGATCCACCCGGCCCCGCCCGTCGTCGCCGTCAAACCGCCATGCACCACGCCCGTGGTCCCCGCTGAGACGCACCAGGCGCGCCCTCCCCCCGCCCACGTCCAGCCCGCCGCGCACAAGCCCCTAGCGCCCACGGCCTCCTTCAGCCGCGGCCTCACGTCGCCCACCGCCATCAAGCTCTTCAACCCGAGTCGCCGTCTCAACAAGTCGCAGTCGCAGCTCATCATGCCGCGAATGAAGTCGCTGCTGCGCGCCGGCCAGGGCCAGCGCTCCCTCAAGGAGAGGAAGGACACGCCGCCAGCGTCCACGCGGAGCCCCATGCCCCGCGAGGCCTCCGTCAGGAGCCTCACCAACTACGAGGAAGCCAACTCGCCGGAGCCGCTGATCAGGAAGTGCCACACCGTGCTGGCGCTGTCCTCGGCCACAGGCGGTGCCGCGCACACCCGCCTCGTCAAGGACAAGAAGAGCAAACTCAGCTTCTTCAGACGAATGTCACCCTCCAAGTCCGCCGTCTTTTCCTCCAACAAGATGACCATCGCCAAGTCGCCCTCGGCCGTGTCGGACCTCCGGCGCCTGCGCAAGGACTCGAGCATGCTGTTCCCTCAGCTGGAGACGGAGGGCGAGGTCGGCGGCTGCTCGAGGTGCGCCTCCGCGGCCTCCATAGCGTCCAGAGGCTACGCGGGTCTCGCCCAAGACTCCGTCTTCTGCAAGCTCTGCCTCTCCGACGTGTCCATACAGGCGATGTACCAGCTGCAGTTGTGCCAATGCCGCTTTTGTAAATATGTAAGTGTTTCTGCCCGTGTCCTTCTTTCCCAACATGCCTCAGTCACTGTTTTAACATTGGATTACTGAAATCACTGTGTTCTGAAGACCCTTTCAGTACCATCACATACTCTATTCCCGATTTCCACGACAAACTAAAGCACAAAAATACATCTCAGTAACCTCGCGTCCTCTTCCTCCCGCAGTGCATGGCTGTGTATGTGGCGTTGAAGATCCGAGAAGGAGATTACACGATCGAGTGTCCAGACGCCAACTGTGACTGCAGCGGAGAGCTCACCCTTGAGGAAGTCGAGAGTTTAGTGGGGAGCGAACTGTTCCAGCTCCACCTCAAGTTCAGAAAGAACACAGGTAAGGAGGCTGCGTATCTCGGGCGGGTGGGCGGGTACCTGTGTTGGTGGTTTTATGACTCTCTCTCTCTCTCTCTCTCTCTCTCTCTCTCTCTCTCTCTCTCTCTCTCTCTCTCTCTCTCTCTCTCTCTCTCTTTCTCTCTCTCTCTCTCTCTCTCTCTCTCTCTCTCTCTCTCTCTCTCTCTCTCTCTCTCTCTCTCTCTCTCTCTCTTTCTCTCTCTCTCTCTCTCTCTCTGTCTCACTCTCTCTTTCTTACTTTCTTTTTCAGTCTATCTACCTATCTGTCTATCCACCCATCTATCTATCTATATATATATCTATCTATCCGTCTATCCATCTATTTCTCCCTTCCCTTCTCTCGAATCATCTCGCCTCCCTCATGTAATTTAACCCCTTGTTCCTTCTTCCAATTTCCAGAAGTGGACAAGGACCCAGTGAAGGCTTGGTGTCCCATGCCCGGCTGCGAAACCGTAGTCAGTCTACCGATCTCCAAGTTCGAGGGTCCTCAGTGCACGACCTGCCCTACCTGCACAGCCGTCTTCTGCGCCTCCTGCAGCGAGCCGTGGCACCCTAGCCAGCCTTGCCACACGGACAACGCTGAATCACTGGTAAGATTCGGATTTAACGTTATCGACGACACCTAAATGCAATTAATTAACGCGAGTAAGTCCAAACACATACATCACATGTATAATAATCCACAGCATCTCAGTTCAATAGGTCTAACGTGCATCTTCTGTCCCTCTCCTTCAGGCGGTTCCTAACGACGAGACGATAAAAAGGTGCCCGTCTTGCAAGGTACCCATAGAGCGCGACGCCGGCTGTGCGCAGATGCTGTGCAAGAAATGTAAACACGTGTTCTGCTGGTACTGCCTCACTTCCTTGGATGTAAGTGGCACCCCAGCTTTAAGCTACTTTGGGTCTGGGATTATTTGAGTTTATTATGGTTAATGATTTGTTGTTATCATTATTGCTGTTGTTTTTTTGTGATAACTGTTACTATTATTGTTGTTGTTGTTACTATTATTATCATTATTATTATTATTACTATTTTTATTATTATTTTTATTACTATTTTTATTATTATCATGATACGACTAATCTTCATGATATGATGTATATCATTCAGAAAAAATAGCCTTGCTGGGCTCTCTCTCACTGCACTGGGTTTTAATCTTGACGTGTTTTTCTGCCTTTTTTTCCTCAGGACGACTTCTTGCTGCGTCACTACGACAAGGGTCCGTGCAAGAACAAGCTAGGCCACAGTCGAGCCTCGGTCCTGTGGCATCGAGCTCAGGTCATAGGCATCTTCGCAGGCTTCGGTCTCCTCCTGGTCGTGGCGTCGCCCCTGCTCTTGTTCGTGGGTCCGTGTCTGCTGTGCTGCAAGTGCAAACCCTGCTCCAAGCATGAGTCGGAGGAGGATAGCTTATACGGCATCTGAGAGCCAGGCCGAACCTTCAGCGTTGTCACTTAAAGCCAAAGATTGTGTTTTGGAGGAACTTTTCCGTTATAATATATATATATATATATATATATATATATATATATATATATATATATATATATATATATATATATATATATATTATCTAAAGATACAGTTCACAAATTGTGTTATTAGTTTTTCACGGAGATGTTTCTGATGTTCCCATTAACTGTCTTTCACAAGATAGTGGCAGTGTAAGTGAGAGCTTGCTGGTGTTTCACGCCTACAATTTTCAACGTCAACGCAAGCTGACTTACAGTGATGATATAGAATTGTGAATAATGAAAATGAAAACAAATAGTGTTACATTTTTTCACAACAAGGAAAAAGTTGAACGTTATAGAAAAGAAAAAAAAGTCGTTTTGAAAAATTAAGAAAAATGAAAAGGATTTTCACGCCAGGCATAAAAAAATAGTTTTTTTCGTTTTTTTTAAACACTTCACGAAAAAAGAAAACTGAATGTGTCCGGACTAAACTGTACTTAAAAGAAAACGAAAAAAATAACAGGACAAGTGGTACTTAAAGAAAGAGACGGAGAAGAAACATCTCTAAAAAGAAGAAGAAAAAAAAAGATACAGTTGATGATACATAATCCAAACTCCATAACACGTTCAGACCCCTCCCCCCCCTGACCCCCCAATCGAAGAATCTTTGTGGATTCTTCTGTAGATCAAAAAAAAAAAAAAGCTTTTTTACATTCTCGCAAGAGGAACGAATAAAGCTTGGGAGTATATATATATATAAATAAAAAACAAAACACACATTTGATTTTATATTTCATAATCACATGCTCGTCTGATCTCTACGAAGAAAAAAATGAGATATAGAAAATGATCATGAAATTTGTGCACAAATTGAGAACACTCCATAATGCTTCATAGCTTATTAATGTGAGCTTGACTGTGTCTAACCGCACTGTGCAATTTATTTATCGTATTTATACACTTTACTTCGTCCCACTACGTCTTATCTCCTGTGCAGAGATGAGGCGAAAAATTCCCCTCTCCCCCCCCTCCCTTCCCCCCCACCCCCTTCTTCTTCTGGTACTTCTATATGGACGCACAATATAGTGAACACTACTGTGATGCTTTGTATAACTGAGAAGATAAGGTTGCACACCGCTGCAACATCCTCCCCTATTGGGTGTTTATGGCCAGAAATTGTCCCAGGAAAAATTCATGTAATATATGTATGTATGTAATTCCCTGTGCGGTCACATTTGTTTTGTTACAAAAGAAATTATATAAAAAAAAAAGATTTATCCACCACAAAAAAAGTTTATATTCTGAAATAAATTTTTATGTTAAAAAGTTA